ATTCACATACACAATTAGCTGCTTTTTATTTTGGTAATTCCACTCTTTTACCTATTTAAGCAGTAGTGTTTCTTTTATATTACCATCTTAAAAAGATTGTTTATCCTTCACACCCATAAGCTGGCACTTTATGTAACAAATTCTGTTATCCCTCCTCAGTTATTAACAGAGTTAACCTTTTAACTGAGGAGATCCCTTATTTCTGACTTTCACTTTTCTGTTTTTTGTGTTTTTTTTTAAGATTCTTGCAGGCTTCATTATATGAACCCCTATGAACATTATATGAGGCATATAAATTACTTAAAGTGACCTTTTATATTGGAAACACTGTAACATAAAAATTTGTAATTTTATAAAGAAACAGTATTAATTAATGAAAACCTTGGTTTATTAGTGGAGTGTTAACAGGCCCTAGAGTAAACTGTATTTGGGAATGAGCTCAGAGAGCTGTGGTAAAAACAAATGACAGGATTGACTGAAAACCTATCAGAAGTAATTCACAATGCGATTTTGTAGATAAGTAACTAGTAAGATAAGTACCTTAGTGTCATCCAGAAGTAGCTTACTAAAACATTAATATGTAACTCGGGGATTGTAACGTATTGAGAAAATATGTTAAAATAAGAAAGAATGCTGACTGATAAATGCAGACATAACAAGCCTGGTGGATTATTCCTGGGATCTAGAAAATGAGTTAGAAATTAAGACTCTTAGTGTTCAACTCCTGCCACTTTTCTAAAGACTGTGTTTAGTAGATATAATTACTTTGTTTTCCAAAATACATATATAAGCTGGGAATCAAAGAAATAAGTATTTATGAGTCCTCATAGGCAGGGGCCAATTTAAGTGGGTCTAGAATAGCTGACCTGGCTTTCCTACCAACTAAATGAGAGACTCCCAGGTCACCACCAACCCTCACCATCTTCCACTGGAATTCCTATTTCTAAACCAGCTTCCCAGTTACATTATATCAGGAAGAGGCTGCAATTGGTATTCCTGACACTAGAAATTGGAAAATTACTTTTACACATGTAAATGAACATAGATAGATATCTTGAGGTCTGTGCATACTTTGGTGAGATAAATCTAGACTCAACACTAAGAAGTAAGACCATAGCTTCCAAATGATGAACTATTGATCCCCTCAACCCCAGAAATGGCTGGAGCTCCTCCAGTCTAAACTTCACTTACCCTGGTGTGCCACAGAAATATCATACTTTTCAGGGTGTGTTATGATGTGAAAAATGTTGAGAGGCACAAAGTTAGGGCATGCTCTTGTGGCAATGCCAGGGTGGCATCCTATGTCACTTGTACTCATATTATTGTATGACAAATAATAGCTAAATTCCATTTTTGATGAAATTATAAACTTTTCCTCACAAATAATGAGAAAAATTGTTATTATAACTTACCTATTTAAAATAAAAAAAAAAATTAGGGTAATATACATATAACATAAAATTTACCATTTTAAGTGTATGGTCAGTGGCACTAAGTATATTCACATCACCACCATCCATCCACAGAATGCTTTTCTTCTTGCACAACTGAAACTCTGTACACATTAAACACTAACTCCCCATTTCCTCTAGTCCCTGGCAACCACCATTCTACTTTCTGTCTCTGTGAATTTGACGACTCTAGGAATAACCTACCTACTTTTATTCCTTTTTTGTCCTAAGGGAAAATGTTAAGAAGTGGTGAAATGGCTAAAATTAGGCAAAAGACTGTAGTAAGAAAGGAAAAATGTCTAGATATAGAAAATACATGTTAGCCATACAATTCTTGAATAATGAAAAGAAGCATAAATTAGAAAATACGTTGTGAATATTGTACTTTCTCTGGCCTTGGGATTTTTCACTCTCAGACCCTAGATAGTCTTCAAGGTCAGCTTCAGCTTCAAATACTTTCTTTTCTTCTTTTTTTTTAATCCTTACCTGAGGATATTTTCTTCCCATTGCTTTTCAGAGACAGTGGAAAGTAGAGAGAGAGAGAGAGAGAGAAACATCGATGTGAGAGGGACACATAGACTGGTCGCCCGTTGCAGTCATGCTGACCGGGGCGGGGGCTGGGGATCGAGCCTGCAACCGAGGTACATGCCCTTGGCTGGAATTCAACCCAGGACCCCTCAGTCCACAGGCCAGCGCTCTAGCCACTGAGCCGAACCGGCTAGGGCAGCTTCAAATACTTTCTTTTCCTGGGAGCCCATCAATGTCACAGGATCTATTCTTTCTTTGAATTTCCATAGCAGTTTGTATTGCCTTTAAGGGAGTTCACCCAGTTTTGCCTTAACTATTATTTGTTTATTTATCCTTGATCCTGGAGGAGAGGCACCTCTAAGGCTGACTCTGTATCCTCATGATCACATACTCAATAATGTTTAGCACAGGTTCTTGCATATAGTCAGTAGATACTTGTTGAATTTTTATCCTCAGTTAGCAAATACTTATCTGCTCTGTTCATGTGCCATGCAAGGCAATGGGAACACAGCTTCTGCCCTTACATTCTATGTTCAATCTAGTCTCTGTCGGTGCATTAAGTGCCTGAAATACAACTGCTACAGCAATTGCCAGCACTTTTCTATAAAACGCACCTTCTGAGGTTGTCTTCATATAGAAACACCACGTGAGCGCTGCAAAGCATTCCCTCAAGCTCTTACTCCTCCACATCACAGCTCTACCCCCAACTCCACTGCCCACTTTGTGTTTTCCTCATACTTCTAATGTATATATAAATGTGCATCCATCCATTATTAAATCTAACGGCAGGAAAAAATACCAACAGCAAATAGTTTCAGCCAAAGGATCTAGAGGTAAATTAGAAATGTTTCTATTTTAGCTATAAGACCATGAGATTTTGAAATGATTAGAACTTATTTTCAAATATTTACATAATAAATTCTTTATTAACAATATCAGAGACTATATAGGAAAATATTATCATGGCAAATTAAAAATATTCAGAATAATAACTGATGCCTTAAGAGAATCATGGCATGTAAGTATAAAAGAAGTCCAGTACTCATTTCATATAATTTTCCTCCTAATTTTATAAGCAAGAACCGGCTTAGAGCATTTAAATGACTTGGCCCAGGTGACTGAGTCAATTCACATTTCTAATTCTGCACTGTTAGAACATAGTCTTGATTTGACTGGTTTACAGTATTATCTCTCAGTTTTCATAAGGACACAGCTAAGCTCGTATCTCTTTAAAATTTTTCTCTTATAAAAGAAATCAAGTTTGTAGAAAGATAAGCATAAAGAAGGAAATAAAAGTTACCCAATTAATATTTTGTATTTTGAAACTTAATTTCATTCTCACTGCATAACCTTATCGTGAGGTACTGGAGAAATCTTACTATTACTTATGTACAAGTTACACTTAGGATTTCAGGATATCAGACTCAAGTTACCAAGCTAAAGTCAGAAATGTAGGACGTCAGGGTCACTTCATAGCTTGAAACAGAGAAGGGTCAGAAAAGCAGATCACAGAGTGTGATAGGCTCTAAGTCTGGCTGTATCTTGTGGTTTTCATCTGACCCTGTTTCCCATTAACTTCTAGGTGTCCCATCTGCTTTCTTCCTGTAGATTATAACAGACACATCCAGTGTGCCAGGCCACTTTCTAAGGAAAGCTCGCCTAGCGATGATCCTTTTGAATAAATAGCCCTAGGCAGCTTTATTTGGTACCATGTGACCCCTGCTCACAATGAGGGTAGCCATTCAGTAGGCTAACATCCTTAACAAGTCCTGCCACAAGTGGTATCACCCAACGAGGATGAGCTGTGCCAATTAGATTCTTGCCCCTGGAAAATACAGGGAGAACTAGGTTTTAAGAGCGTAGATGTGGGAAGGATACACAGAAACAGGTCTCCACACAAGGGGCCGTGAGCAAGTTAATGAGTTAGTGAGAACTACGAATAACCAGAAACTAAGAGAGAAACGAAGAGAGCTGATGCACCACCAGAGGAAAAGATCCACGGACTCGGCGGCAGAAATCCGTGTCGCTGCCTTGTGTCCAGGCTGGCGCATCGAGGCGTCCTGTTTTCTCCAGCCTGTCAGCCCAGTCTCCATGACTGCCACACAGATTCTTTTTTTTTTTGCCACATAGATTCTTACAATAATTAGCCCTTATTTAATCTCATTAACTGTCACTTTTTTAAGGTTGAACTGTGTAATCACCTCATTGATCTTGAGTAGCATTATCTGAATGTATAATGAAATAGCTTAGATCAGAAGCTCCCATACTTGACTGATTATTATAATCATCTGGGGAGTTTTTAAAAAGTTAAGATTCTGAGGACTCATTGAATCAGAATATCGTACGTAGTTAAATCTGCTTTAGATGGTAAAAATCATGTTTCTTCTGAGAAATTAAAGCATGCATGGAAACCATACTGAAGTACAGTAAAATGCTTAATAATGCAAAATAATCCTATTTTGATTCTGTTGCCTTTTTATTGTTATTCTTACTATTTGTTAAAACATCCTTTTCAAATTGTTCTAATTTCTTGTTCCTTAACTAATTTCTGTGTACATACATTTCTACCTAATAAGCATTTCATTTAATGTTAATGTGGTTGATTTTATATTTTATGAGGAAGCTCTTAGAGCAAAATACACTGTTGTATAAATAAAAGGGGGCAGGTGATATTCTGCATCCTTTTATTCTTATATAAAAATGTCTCCCCGATTCCCCTATAAATTAGTTCCTGGAAACTGAAGGAGGTAAATGCCAGATTAAGGCTAATTATTTCTGGGCAAGTCCAGCATAGTAACTAGAAATATAAAACCCAATTATCAGCTGTAAGATATGATATACACACACACACACACATTCAGAAAAGAAATGAATACAAATATTTCCAGGCCCTTCCATTAAATTGTTAAAATTACTTTTAAAACAATATGAATTAGAGGAAAGAAATTTAAGTAAAGTATATTTAGTAAAAATCAGAGACATTAATAATTTTAAGTTTTTTTCTTTTTCTTTTGTACTTACAAAGAGTGTGGGCTTGGGTATAAATATATCATCTTCATGTTCTCTAGGCACATTCAGAGCCTTTGACTTCTGATTTCCTGACACATTTTTGGATTCCCTTTTAGTAAGAAGTAGCCTGTCCTCAGAAGGCTTACTGCGCATATTAGTGAGAATCTGCTTCATTGCTGCCAATTCCTGTTGATATATGAAAGTAGAAGAAAATGGCAAGTATGATTTCAGCAAGTGCACTAATAATGATTGATGTTAAAACATTTATTTTTATTTTGGAGTAGAAGAAACATTTGAAACAATTACACTATATAAAATAACATACTGACCAATGACACACATGACTCACATCATCATTCATAGTTTTAGTATGATAAACAATAAATATGTCATTCCGTAGTCTAATGGTTCCTAAATTTTCCTGCACATTGGAGTCAACTGTGGAGCTTCAAAAACTACTGATGCCCGTGTCCCACTCGCAGAGATTGTAAAATAATTGAGCTGGGGTGTAACCTCGGCGTTGAAAATTTTAAAAGATCTCCATGTGATTCTAAGGGAAAGACAAATTTGGGAACCACTGGCATAGTTACTCTCCACTACAGTTTTTCTACATGTTTGCTAAGTAAGTTATTTAGGCATTTTATTTTTCCTACCTTGTAAACTACACCATTTCCTTTTGAAGTCTTACATTAAGATGGGACGAAGAAAAAATTCAAGATTATTTTCTTGCTTACTAATCAGCAGCATAAACAGTAAATTTAATACATCTTCAGGATTCAACCATATGACCCCCTCTTCTCTTACAAATGAAAACTGGAGTTAGCTTTATCCAGTTGCTGTTTGGAATAAGAATTATTATGCTGAATTTCTTAAAGAACTCAGATAAAATTTTTTACTCATTCCCTCTTCCAAGTCCATTTTGTCTTTTATTTTTCTCTATAGTCAAACTTTTAGCACCTAACATTACTTAGTGGATATTTATGATTAATCACTAAATTGATTCAATCAAACACAAGCATATGGACAGAGGACAGACTAAACTCTCCTTTATTATATATAGAACAGTGGTAGGCTGTGTTAGAGGTATTTTTTCCTATTATTTTATTTCACCTTCATGCCAAGACACAAACTTATGGTGACAGCGAGATGTTCTGCTCCCTTTTACTAATCTGTTTATAGACATCAGCTCTGTGTCAGAGCAAGTTCCTACAGGCCTTTTTTTTTCTTTCTGGCTGTCATTAGTTCTATTTAGAACCATCTAGCTTGAGTGAGTGGGTATTTTAAAACAGAGCTGTTGAGTTTAAGCCACAGAGCTTAATAGATCTTAGGGCCAAGCGAGGGGCTGGAAGAAATGGTACTGAATCCTTTCTCCTTTCTGCAGTACTGGGGTTGGCTAGGCCAATGCAAATGAGAATGGCTACACCTCAGACACTCTCAATATGATATACTATTATTTGAGCCATCTGAAGGCTTTTTGCTTTCAAGATTATCTTATTTTATTCATATGTTCCCCCAGAGTGAAGTATATGGCCACCAATTTAATGTTAAACATACCTGGTGTTATGGCAGCTTTCAGCTCCTGTTCTACTTACCACGATGAGGGAAAGGGAGATGACAGCCTCTCAGCTTATCAAAAGAATATTTTCTGCCTGAAAGAATCTCCTTTTAGTGGCCTTATCTTTTGTATCTTGGTATGAAGATTTTAAAAAAGGAAAAAAATATTTTTTTCCTACCTACCACTAGTCTACAGATAAATAAGGTAAGGGGGATGATACTTGCCGGGGAAAGGGGAGAATGGGGATAGCGAGCATGAGGAAGAAAAGGAAGAAGCTGCAGGTGTCCTGAGCAGAGAGCTTTGGCCCCTTAAGGGCCCTAAAAGGAGGCCATAATTTTGTTTCTCTTTGGCTTCCCTCTGCTACTGGTATGGGAGCAGTTAGAGGAAACAGATTATCTCTGAAGCAGGTCAGGAGACAAAAAAGAAATCACATATCTTCCTTTACCCAGACTAGGATTACCCAAACTTAGGGTGTTGTCAAAGCACGGCACTGCTTTGTTCACTGATAGTATTAAACAGTGTTAGCATGGCTTCTGAAACCCAGGTGAGGTCACTTTAAAAACCACAAAATTCTGTAAAATTCCTACTAGGATAATACAGTGGGTGCAAAAATAAAATGTGGAACAATTTTGTTCAGTTTTACTATGTTTGATCATAGACGATCCCCTTCATATTAATGGTAAATGTGAGCAAAGAAAAATTCCACTTTAACATCAAATAGTATCCAAAATACCATCATCTACTGAACACACAGAAAGCCAAGCACATGTAGTGGAAATATTTTAGTATTAGGTTAGAAGCCAAAGACACATCCATTCCTGACTCTATTATTAATTGAGTAAACACAGGCAATCTACTCTGGTTCAATGAGCTTCAGTTTCCTAATTGATAAAATGTATGCTTGTGTTACCTTTTTGGATTTTTGCCAGTCTGATAAGTTTTTGGGTATGTTTGTTCTGCATTTCTTCTATTGTGAGGTTGAGCAGCTTTTCATACATATAAGGGTATTTCCTTTTCTGTTGCTATGCTTCGCCCATTTTTCTACTGGGTGACTGGTCATTTTCTTATACTTTTCAAGGAGCTCTTTATGTGTTAGAGATATCAGCCCTTTGTAATATGAATGGTATTTTTTCCCATTAATTTTTATTTAACTTTGTTTACACTTTTTTTTTTTTTTTTGCTGAATATGTCAGTCTTTAATTTTATAGCCTTCTCCATGGTTTCTTCTTCCATTTTCCTCATTACTTTTATGGTTTTCTTTTCTTTTTAAAACATTGAGATCTTTGATCTGTTTCGTTTATCCTGGCTTCTGGAGATAGGTGTGGTAGATTGGACATCTTTTTCCCCATAGCTTTTCAGTAATAACTTTATGTACTGCAGAGGCAATTTTTTTCCTCACAGATTTGAGATGCTATCTTTATCCATAAATGTACGATTTATTTCTGGACTTCAAACTCTATTCCAATGGTCTGTTTGTTTATGCACCCATGTTCTACTGTTTTAATGTTTAATGACTGAAGTGTTTTTTGGCTATATTCTTAGGGACGGGGTGGGATATATTAGAAAACTTATGAAGAAGTGACTTTTATAATGTTGAGTCTTCCTAACCAGGAATATATTTTAATATATCTCTCACCTACATTTTTGGGTATAAATTGTCCTGCTTTAATTACCCAAATTAAATGGTTGTGATTCACGATGAGATCCCAATTCAAAACTGACAAAAATAAATAAACCATCATACAAGAGCTAGAAAACTTATTTGCTACTACAAAACAGAATTCTTTGGTAAGAGATAGTCATCTTGAAATCTTCTGGTTTGTTCCTAACCTGGTTCAGTTCTTACCATGTTTTTTGCTTGGCTCCTGATGCCTGGTTCCATCTCTTATTTAAGATTCTGTTCTTATTGTTTGGATTTGACTTTTTTTTTTTTTTTTTAAAATCTTTATTGATTTCAGAGAAAATAAGGGGGAGAGGGAGGGAGAGAGAGGGGGAGAGGGGGAGAGAGAAACATCAATGATGAGAGAGTCATTGATCGGCTGCCTCCTGCACGCCCCTAACTGGGGATCGAGCCCGCAACCCGGGCATGTGCCCTGACCAGGAACTGAACCTCGATCTCCTGGATCCTAGGTTGATGCTCAAGCGATGAGCCATGCCCGGCTGGGCTGGACTTGACTTTTGCATTTCATTTTACTAGCTTTTGATTCTGCTTTCCTCTGCTCTGCGACTGTCCTTTTTTGATTGGCCAGCAGGCTTATTTGTGTATTTTCTAATGATTTACAAATACTGCTCACCGCAGAGCAGAGAGTGTGATTAGATTCACAGAAAAGGAAACTTGATGTTCAAAGGAGAGTGTTTCAAGTGTTAAGTTCAACAGGATTCTTTTTCTTACATTGCATCTACTGCTCAAAATCATGCCATTTATTCCAGTTCCTATTTCAGTCCTGACTTTCTTATAGTTATTCCCTTTTCTTTTTTGAGTCCTGCCTTTTCTCCCGTAATGGACGAAACAATATATGCCTTTTGAAAACTATTCCCTAAGATTATCTAGCTTCTTAATCATAATGTTTGCTGGAATCAATTTTGACTGTTTTTAAGACTGATACACAGTTGTTATTCTGAAATTTCTTTTTACTGCACATCTTGACAAGCTCCATTATTTCTTGCACCCCTCTCCTTGTGGGATTTGATGGCATACAATCCAGTACATTTCCAGGAGAGGGTACTGTGGAAGAAAGTACTGTGCTTTCCTTCAGAACTCTATTACTTCTCTGTTCCCAAGTACAATTTCTGGGAACTATGATGCTGAGCTGATTCCTGTATCTTTGTACATATTTTCTTTCTCTCTGGAATCTTCTGTATTGTTTAGCTATTCCGTAACTTCCATTATTTTACCCTTTGCTAAATTTTAGGAGAGTTCCCTGACTTTTGCTCACATCCTTCTACTGGCATTTTTATGTACTACAATAACTTTATGACTGATTCTGGCAAATTTTTAAAACATCACAAACTTTTCCACCCACTGTTTCTTATTTTAGGAAAATGCTTCTTTCTCAAATCTTTCTGAAGAAACTAATTACAATACTTTGTAAGTTCTTTTCTGCTTCAGAATTTTCTTTTTCTTTTTTTTCCTCTGGGGAAGGGCTTCAGTTTCTCTGCGTATTGTGATTTTTCTCTTTTGTGCTATTAATTTTTTTTGCATCTTCTGATGATCTTTGGTTGTGTGTTCCAACTTATGAGCAGATCAAATGTTTTCTTTCTGCTGTTATGGGCCATTCATCTGAATGAAAGAGTACAACATCTGTACATGCGGATGAGAAAATCTGTCTAGCAGACTCTACTCTAGGGTCCTCAGGCAGGACATAGGTTCTCTTCTCCAAAATGACAAAATGTGAACTCTACTAATCTGGAGCCCCTTCATTTGGACAGATCTAGTCTATTCCCAGCAGCAAATCATTTGTTCATTTAGAAACCATTTCTCAAAATACATTTTAAAATTTCTCTCTCTTTTTTTTAGTCCTTGCCTGAGGATATTTTTCCCATTGCTTTCAGAGAGAGTAGAAAGGATGGAGGTAGGGAGAGAGAGAGAAACGTCGATGTGAGAGAGGCACACTGACTGACTGCCTCCTGC